CTAGGCTCCTCTGTCCATGGGATTCTCCAGACAAGAATACTGGAATGGGCTGCCATTTCCTTCTCCAGGGATCTTCCTGACCCAGGGATTGAACCTGGGTCTCCTGCATTGCAGGCAGATTCTCTACCAACTGAGCTACGAGGGAAGCTCACTGTCTCCCGGAGTTTGTTCAAACTCATGTCCTTTGAATCAGTGATGCCATCCAACCATTTCAACCTCTGTCACCCCCGTCTCCTCCGTCCTTCAATCTTTCCCAGCATTAGGGGCTTTTCCAATGAGTCGGCTCTTCACATCAGGTGGCCAAAGAACATAGGGCTGTGCTAAGTGCTAAGTCGCTTCAGTCGTGTCTGACTCTTTGCAGCCCTATGGACTGTAGCCTGCAAAGCTCCCCTGTCCATGGGATTCTCCAGGCAAGAATACTGGAGTGGGTTGCCATTTCCTTCTCCAGGGGATCTTCCCAACCTTGGGATCGAACCAGTGTGTCTTAAGTCTCCTGCATTGGCAGGCAGGTTCTGAGAACACAGAGACACTCAATAATTCAACAAAATATGTGCCAGGCTCTGGACTAGGTGCTGGGGCACAAAGATAAATACAATAGTAGATGCCTTCAAATTGTTCATTGTAGAAATGCTGTTAACAGGAATTCATTTTCTTCCTTTCTTCTTTTAGGATGTCAGTAGGAGTTTCAGGACTTTGATTCTTTGCCTTGATAAACTTTCACCTCTACCTTCTCAAGAGAGACCATGCTGATAGAGTGGCAGCTACATTTACATCCCTCATTCATGATGGTTACTTCAATGTTATGGGGAAAAACATCCCTTTTATGCTTACAAATTATTATCAAGACTGATCCTTAACTCTTCCGGGCCTTACCTGTACATGTTTCCATGGTGAAAAGTGTGCTGTTTCAGCACTTCAAAGTAAGTATGGAAAACTTTAATTCTTTTTCATTCTCCGTACCCCCGCCCCAGCCTGTCTGGATTTACATTCCAGTTGAAAAGACTAGTCACAAAGGATCAGTTCCCAGTTTAGCTACCTTAGTGACCAATTTCTGGCTCTCCTCCTGATTTGGGGTTCAGGTTCTATGCTAAAAACAAAAGGACTTTCCAGAAAAATACTATCCGAGTTTATAAACAGAGGCTGACAGAAAGTAACTAGGGAGGAAAATGTAGGAGATGATAGTTTCTAAGTCAAAATGTTATAATACGAAACCCATCCTTCCCTTGGTAGAGCAATTCCATAAGTCACAGAAAAATATTTTTCATTTTAGAATAGACTGGAAGGGAGCCTTTGCCAAGAGCCAGTTGTTTAAATTTTCAATTTGAATTTTAAGCAGGATTATACATGCCCAAGAACATCATGCTATTTTTAGCTAAATAGGTAGGATTGCTGTGTCCACAACCGTTTGGGGCAATCAAGAGTGAAACTATTAAACAGCATCTCTCACTGTGGTACCTTATCATTTAGCACTTCTATTTCCATTTTAATATCTTCCAAAGCTTCATCATACAAATGTTAGTAAAGCAACCATGCTAGGCATAATACAAAGTTTATATAGATAGACAAGGTTCCTATCTTCATTATGGGTTCAACCCATTAAGCAACCAGATATTTCAAAGTTAGAGCTGCCATCCAGCTTAAGTGCCCAGATGAGATACATCAGGAAGCAACTGTCCTACACTTATCACCCTTACAATGCTTGCACCATCTCTATGTATTCAAAAGAGAGGTGTAATGAAAATGTTCTAAAATTGACTGTGATGATGAATGCACAGTTCTGTGAATATACTAAAAGCCACTAAATTGTACACCTAAATGGATGCATTGTATGGTATATGAATCATATCTCAATTAAGCTGTTAAAAAAAGGAGAAAAAATGTTCTTGCTCTGATTGTTCTAATTAGTTAAAGCTATTTTTTTAATTTCTCCTACTAAAGGATATCTAGCTACAGGCTGCACTGGTTGAGCAATGGTGCCTCAGGGGCCACCACAGAGATCATTCGCACCTTCCCCCACACATACATTTTTCTTTCTCTCTTCTATTAGTTTCCCTGTTCCTTTTCTCTGCTCCAAAAAGGTCTCAGGTTTCTCAGGTATTCCCAAGCACGATTTGTCCCAAGTGGTGGACTTTAGGATTATACTGATCGCTGACCCTCAGCAACATTCCCTTCATGACCTTAGGCAAGCCATGTCCCAGCTCTCCTGTCGCTGTTCTGATCTGCACAGTGAGGGGTTGGACTGCATGATCCTTTCCAGTGCCCACCCACATTCCTTGTGAAAAAAATACAAATGATGAATACTTATTTGGCCAATAACATGGAAAGTCTCTGCCATTTTAGCCAACAAATATATATTTGGATTATTCATTTTGTAAATGCCTATGTGAGGCAATCCTCCAAAGAACAGTATTTAACATAATTATAAAATAATTAACATGCAGTCCTTATTCTTAAAAACTATCACTTTATCAAAGAAAATTCAGAGCCCAACATGGAATGCTTGATAGTCCCTCTGTGCCTGTTTCTAAGGGCCCAATTTTTTATGGGGAAAAAAAAAGCGTTTGCATGTTGAGGCCCTGATGTATTTTCCAAACCAAGGAAAGAAGTGAGATTGGGGTGGCAGAGCCTTAACAAAAAAGTGGTTCAACTAAATCCTAAGAGAAGAAGGGCTTTGTTTCTCAAATGGTAGAGAAACCTAACATTAAGACAGCACCTCGACAAACATCATAAACGTTCAGAAACATGCTCAGAGAGCAATGAACACTGCAGGAATCCCTTCAGCCTGGACAACTTGCGGCTCTTTATGGAAACCAATTACATGCTCCCAACAAAACTCACAGAAACATGTAGTTACCAGTTTCCAACATACTACCACCAAATCCACAGTATTGTTTCCCTGTGTCCAGTATCAGTGAGTAAAACCAAAACACATCAATTTCTCTCTCACACACACACCCACACACCCCCACAGACACACAAGAAACCATTTTCTTTGCAGAACCTAGGTTGCCTAAGCAGTGGGCATGAAATGGATAAATATTGGTTGCTAATAAAAATCAAATGGTGAGGTTTACACGGAGAAGCAAACAGCACACGCAGGCATCATAAAAACAATAACCCTAATGTGTGTTTCTTGTCATGAAGCTGGACACCCAACACGGAAAGAAATGACTCAAGGTGTCCATTTGCATCCCTCTTTGCCAGTACCTCAGATCAACAAGCTCTCCTGTTAGTCACCTCCCTACTCTTGTCCCCATCAAAAGAGCCTAGTGCAAAAGGTGGCAGGCCCCTCTCTTCTTGGCCTGCAGGCGCTGAACACGGGGTGGGGGTGGGGCAGCGGAAAGGACAAAGGTAGGCTCTTTCCATCCCTCAAGGCTTTGCAGCAGAGCTGCCAGCCTCTCCCCATTCCCATCAAGGAACAGAGCACCTGCCCGAGGGAGGGCCCTGCCTCCATCTCAGTGGCCGGCCAGCGGGGCCTAGGTGTCCCAGGAGCCCAGGCACTGCAGCCCTAAGGGACAAAGACCGGCCCGACAAGGGGGAGGGGGGACGAAAGGAGTCGGCGACAGTCGGAAAACGCTGGCAAGCAAAAGCGGCCGTGGGTTGGGGCGAGAATACAAAGCCCACCTCGGGGGTTCCCAGAGGTCGCCAGGTCGGGGGTGGGGGGTACTAACGGGTGTGGGGGAGGGGAAGGCGGAGAAAATTCCTCAGAGGCCGGGAATTAGGAGCACACCCGCTGGCAAAAAGGAGGCTGGGAGGCGGGCAGAGGCCCCGGGCTAGAAAGGGCAGAGTTCGTGGGTGGGGAGAGGTGATGGCCAAGAGGTAAGAGACCCGCAGGGGCTCGGTGGCGCGAACGCTCAGCCACGCGAGGCGCTCCGCGGGGCGGCGAGGGCCCCTCAGGAGGAGCTCCAAAGTCCCGCGCCGCGCGGAGCTGGGGACACGCGGCCCAGGGATTCCAAGGAGAGCAAAGAGTTGGGGGCACAGTGTGGGAAAAGAGTCTGAGAACAGAACCATAGAGAGGCTAGGGGGGACTGTGAGGGGGCCTGACCCCTGTCCGCCCCACCTCACCTGGCGCCGGGTCGGAGTCCAGGTCTAGTGCTGAGAAAGCGCCAGCTCCCGCCGGCCCCTCCGTCCCGCGCGGGAGACCACGGACACAAAGCGGGGCCCGCGCGGGAGGAGGGGAAGAAGAGGAGGAGGAGGGGGAGGGGAGAGAAAGGAGGAGGAGACGCCTGAGGCGCGCGAGGGGGGGGAGGAGGGGCGCCCGCCGCCCTCCGCCTGGGTCAGGGGGCGGGGCGTGAGGCTGGAGGCCGCGCTCGACCGGCCAATGGCCACCCCGCCGGCGGGCTGGCTCGGGCGCGCCTTCCCGCAGCTCACCTCGGCACCTGGGCCTTGGCTGGCCCCAGCCAATCAAACGTCTTCATTTGCATAACTGGCCCCGCCCATTCGCCCAGGCCGGGGGACACGCTCCCAGAGAACACAAAGAAGAACCCCCGTAGGGGGAGGGGGATGTCCACTTCCATGTCCCAACGCGGAGAACCTAGCATCACCTTTTCAGCGGGTTTATGAGTGTTTCACGGTCACCCTGATGAGGGGAGAAGTGGGGTTCACAGAGGCTGGTCCAAGCTCTCTTGAAAAGTTGGTACTCTTCTCCCTTGGGTCCTTCTAGCCAAGAGTTACTCTCCTGTTACAGGATACAGTTATGTTCTTCGCCTCTGCCCCCACTTCCCCCTCCCCTTTTTCCAGTCGCCCCAATCTCTGTGCTTCCTCCCGTAGGCTGCTGCCCACTACTGGCCTTCAGCTGCACTGCAGCCCTAATCACAAGGCTCTGAGCACAATCTTAATAGATGCTTCCAACCCACCCAGAAAAGGGGAGAGGAAGGGGTTACTGTGTGAGGGTAGAAGAGAACTAGCCAAGTAGCCTTGTTACCTATGACGGCAAAAGCCAGCAATGAATAATAGGTCTAATCTTCCCAAATCATCTTGTTCCGCCTTCCCTCTCCTACCTTCAGGTCTGTACTGGGCCACAATGGTGACTGACTGGCCAGCCCGTTTCAGAGCAGCTGCAGCCTGCTCGTGAGTTGCATTCCTCAGGTTCACACCATTGACCTGTCCAAAGAGAGGTGTTGTGAGCCACCTCAAAAGGAAGAAAGGAGTTCTCTGTTGTAGCAGTTAGGAGAGGGAGATGGGTAACCCATCCCTAAGCCTACTCAGATGCCTTTCTCAGTAGCCCATCCCTGCCTATTATGATGAAACCTAAAGGTTACACCTCTAGTGTAATAATTATCTTTTGGGGGGTCAAATGTCAACCAGGGCTCAGAGCCAAGAGATATGTGTTTCTTCTTTAAGTACAAGTCTGGTCCCTGTCCCTCAGGATGGATATCTATAAAGAGAATATGTTTACTCCAGCTCTTAGCCTTCCCCCACTTCAAGAAATATTCCTTGGGGAAAGTGAGGTATTCCCTCCTCCCTTTTAGAGTGGCCCAGCTCCCATCCTCCCACCTTGCCTTTGTTTCCTCACCGATAAGATCCGGTCTCCCCTGCGCAGCTCCCCACTTAGGTCAGCTGGGCCTCCTGCCAGGATGAAGGAGACAAAAATGCCTTCTCCATCCTCACCCCCAACGATGTTGAAGCCCAAGCCTGTGGAGCCCTTGTGCAGGATGATCTTGCGGGGCTCCCTGGTGGGAAAAGAGTGGAAGAGTCAGGACAAAGTAGGTATAAACTGTCATCCCTGTGAGGGCCAGCCTGGAACAAGGCCCACATGTCTGTAGAAGGACTTAGGTCCCTAGGTATGATACTCTGTTGCTCCCTTTCTCTCCTAAAACCTGCTTGGCCACTGTTTGCTGCCAGGTGCCAAGTTTCAGTTGTTCTTCCTCCCTTCTTCCTGAGGGCTTGGAGCGAACTTCCCAGTGGGCAGTCTCTGACTCTCTCAGGTCAACAAACCCCTACCCTGGGCTCTAGCGACCATATCGCAGAGCCCACTCACTGGTCCTCTTCCTCCCCAGATTCTCCCATCCTACCAACTGGTGTGGTGGACCCTGGGCCACAAGAAGGTGAATCAGTTAGGGGCTGTGGAATGGCCCTGGGTTTGACTGCACTCACCACCCACAAACTGTGCCTACCTACTTTACACATGCTCCTCCGCAGTCTCAAAAATCCACCCACCAGCTATGACCCCTCCTACTTTCTCCAAAAACAGATTTAGTCACCAGCTACCACTATGTACCCTTGCTGGGTTATGTGGGAGACAGAGATAAAGAAATCCCAGGTCCCCAAAAGGAGCTTAGGAGACTAACCAAAGAGAGGAGCCGAGCACGTGAAAACACCAACTAACCACGTCTAAGTAACCCCTCTGTAAATGGTCACAGTGTCATCAGGTCAGAGTAGCAGCAGCTCCCGTGTAGTCACACAACCAAACCTGGCACACTTGCCCGACTCACTCTTCACTTTAATCATCTCTCATCAGAGGAGCCCCAGGTCTGAGGCTCTCTCTCTCTTGTTCCCAGCCTCAGGTGTGGGGCTCCTCCCCTGAGACCCAGATGCCCTCCTCTTCTCCTACCTGGCATCCCCTCCAGGCCGCAGGGAGCGGAGCGGCCAGGCCCACCTCTGTGAAGCCCTCCTCCAGGCCGAGGCTGAAGCTGAGCCCAAGCCCAGGGCCAAGCCGGAGCCTGAGAACTTGCGTGTCCTCTCCATGGCTCCTCCAGCTCTCCCCCCCAGCTCCGGCAGCCTACCCTTCCGGCTCCACGACAGCCTCCCAGGCCCCACCCCGCAGAAACCTGTCCCCCGGAACCCCTGCCGGCCCGACCAGTTCCGCGAAGGTGGCCAGTTCCGCGGCAGCCGCCAGAGTGGGGCGGGGCGGATCCCTGCAAGGCCACCTGGCCCGCCAGCCCCAGCAGCCGAACTGCTCTCTTCTCTTACGTGGAATGGTTGCAACAGAGGGGGCTGCAACCGTCACAGGGCAAGAAACCCCGTAGCCTCCACCCCCCTCGGCCCCCTAAACACTCCATCCTACCCTTTCTCCACACTTTCGAAAGGGGGCCACACACTTGGCGCTCCCCCTGTTGGTAGAACTTGTTCCTGCAGCCACCTTTGTCCCTCCAGAGTCCCAAGGGCTCAAGACGGGGCCTCAGACCCCAAAGACAGGAGCGAGAGGGCTTTATCCTCTTCTTTGCCATACTACAAGAAGGCCCGTGGCCAACGAGAAAGGATTCCTCTCCTCCCCATCCCTAGATAGGATGAAGAGGTGGGGGTGGGGGTATTACCTGGTGAAGTCCTCTTCAGCCAGCATGTGCCTGGGGATAGGAGAGTAGCGGGCGGGGGGAACCTGAGGAGGAGCAGGGTAGCTGACCTTGCTCTCCACAGCCCCGAGATAACCCAGGCTGGAGTTATGGCTTATGTGGTTGTCAGCCAAGGCAGTAAAAGCTGGAATGGAGAAAGGGAGAGAGAAGTTCCCTGACCACTCCCCAGTGGTAGCCTCCTCCACCCTCCACCACGGGCTGCCCCCACTCCCTCAGATGCAAAAAAAAAAAAAAAACCGGAACAAGGGATGCTGATTCCTCAGGCCTCTCCTCCCTACTCCACCCCCTAGGGTTCCTCCTCCACAGTCCCTTTCTGAATCCTGAGCTCACTCCTGTGAGTCTTAGAAAGAGGCTAAAGTCAAGGCAGTCTACAAAGAAAAACATGACTAGAGGTGTGACTAATAATAACCTCTCACATCTCTATAGCCTAATACAGTTTTCCAAGGGCTTTCTCGTCCATGATCTCATTTGATCCTTGCAGCACTCCTATGAGGAGGGCAGCACATATATCACTAGCTCCTTTTTGCCAGAGAGGAAACTAAAGACAGGTGAAAGGGACTTTTCCAAGGACATCCAGGAAGAAGGGACACAACTTGGACTTGCACTCAGCTCTCCCCAGCACTAGTCTTATTTTCTGCCCCCCTTCCCTTTCTCTTAACAAGGAGTATTAACTTCTTCCCCTCCAGAAACCAGAGGGTAGGGCTTCGGGCCAGGGACAGGACAGACAGGTACGTACTGCTGGCATAGTCGGGGGGTGCGTACATGTCGTTGAGGTGGAGGCTGCCTGGCTTGGCCACCTTCAGGTAGACCATATCAGACGTGTTCTTCAGTGAGGCCACAGCTTCCTCATGCCTCACATCCTGCAGATTGGTGTTGTTTACCTGGAAGAGGTCTTAGGGCTAGCACTGGGGAGAAGAAGGGAGGGCCTCCCCAGGGAACCCGGTGGGGGGTACTCTTTCAGTGAAATTCAATGGTGCTCTAGTCTGACAAAGGCCCAAGTACAGTGCTGTGAGGAGCAGAGAAGCAGGGGGTAGCGGTGGGCAGGTGAGGGAGTTCCAGCCATGAAGAGGACTAGGGGCTTGTTATCTAGGGACACACACCTCAGATGATGCTCTTGAAATTCGCCATAATGCCTAGTCCCAGAGTGAGGTTCACAGGGAGGGAGAGGCTGCTAAAGCTCCACCTCACCACCCCGCCATTTGGGCATCCCTGGGAAGGCTGTCTCACCGCCAGCAACCGATCCCCGATCTGTAGGCGTCCATCCTTCTGAGCAGCACCCCCCTCAATGATCTTGGTGATGTAGATGCTGTTGTCTCCTGGGATGTGCTGGTTGCCAATCCCCCCAGCAATGCTGAAACCGAGGCCTGAGAGGAAGTCAGCAAGGAGTGGGAGAGTGACACAAGGAGAAGTTAGAGTGCTCAGTTAAGCCCAACCCCAATCCCCCACGCTCAGCCAAGCCACCAGCCCCACAGGAGCTTTCCCCAGGGATCCCAAACACTAAGCTGTCATCCCATAGTCAGTAAGGGTGAGATGTGAGGTCAAGAAAGAAGACTGTGAGCTGAACTGGGGAGGTAGGCAGTGAGTGAGGGGATTCCCTTCCAATTCCTATAGGGCCAACTAGGGGCCTCTGGCCAGAGCACAGGAACCCAGAGGGCCGCACCTTTGGGCCCTTTGAGCAGATTGACCTCCATGATGGTCTCTGGTGGAGGCTGTCGCCTCCGTACCACCAACCGCACCACAGGGCCAGCCTCCTTCAGTGCCTCCACGGCCCGGCTGTGCACCACCTCCGACACGTCCACTTCATTCACCCGCAGTACACAGTCATTCACCCTGCAGGGGAAGCCCAAGAGGCATGACACTCTGCCACCGCCCCTCCACCCTCCCTCCCACCTCCTCCTCTTTCTCTTTCCTCCCCTCATCTCCCCCTCCCCCTCTCAGATCTAATAGAGGGGTCATCCTGTCAGGTGGCCCTCCTCCCCTCTCACCTCCATTCTGTCCCTGCAACCCCTGGCCCTGCTTCTAGACCACCTCACCCCAGCCTCCCATCCATGGCAGCTGCTCCACCAGGGATAATCTTGGTAATAAAGATTCCAGGGTCATCGGGGACATGGGGGTTGTCGATGCCACCTGCAATGCTGAAGCCCAGGCCAGAATTTCCCTGCAGAAGGAAGTGGAGAGGCACGATCTGCTCAAACAGAAGGCATAAGGAAGGGTTTCTGGGGCCCCCTCTACCCCTGCCCCTCCCCAGAGCAGCTTCTCCAGGCCTCAGAGGGGGCCATGGCAGGCTGGGGCACATTCGTCACAAATCTGGCAGATTCCCACCCTGTGCTGACCATTCTGGCATGGAGGCCTCAGGGAAGCCATCCTCTCCCCAATTCCCCAGGCCTCAGCAAGCAAGGTCAATTAATATTTATTAGTTGGTTGATTAGGCTACCCAGGTGGCGCTAGAGGTAAAGAACCTGCCTTCCAATGCAGGAGACATAAGAGACCTGGGTTCATTCAGTCCCTGGGTTGGGAAGATCCCCTGGAGAAGGGCATGGCAACCCACTCCAGAATTCTTGCTTGGAGAATCCCGTGGACAGAGGAGCCTGGTGGGCTATGGTTCATAGGGTCGCACAGAGTTGGACACGACTGAAGCAACTTGGCACACACAGTCGGTTGATTGATTAATGTAGTGATGCAGCCTCTGAGGCCATTTCCCCATCCTCTCAATGTAGGTCCCCATGAGTCTTGAGGCCAAGGTTCAGGAACCCCCCAACTGGTTCTAACCCTCCCCTCCCATTTCATCCTGCCCCACTGCCAGACTCACCCGCTCAAGGACTATCTCCTCATACTTGAACATGCCATCACTGCCATTCACCTGAGGAAAGACACAGGCAGGACCCTGAGTGCCTCCTGCCTAACCCTCCCCACCCCCAACCATCTGCCCACTGGTCAACCTGCTTATCCCCCTACTCCCTGCAGAGTAGGGAAGCCCAAATTGACCCTGGGGCACCTCTTGGCCACAGATGGGACAGGCTGACCCTGAGGAGGCTCCCCTCCCCTTGCTTCCAGCCACATCAGGCCAAATCCAGCTGCTCACTTAGCCCAGATCAATTGTCTGGGACTGAGCCAGTCAGTGGTGCACTCACCAAGAGGCTGGGCTCCAGGGCCTCAGGGTTCACTAGGAGGGATGCAGGGCTGGCCCGAGGGAGATGGCAGAAATGGACCATGGTGGGCAGACCATGCCACACATAGCATCTATGCCTGGATGGGAACCTGCTCCTCTCTGAACAACAGGTCTCCCTGACTTGGGGGTCACAGACTCCCACCATGTCAGAGCTGGAAAGGCAGCAGCCACCATCTTGTTCAACCTCTCCCATGTGACAGACAGTGACACTGAGGACCAAAGAGGACACAGGTTGTGCCTAAGTGTATATTGGGAGTTAGTGGCAGAGCAAGGGCTAGAACCTGGATCTCCAGGTGCTCTTTTGAGTAAAGCAAGCTTGCCGAGGCCATTGATGTTCTGGCCAGTCAATCTCCTTGCCCATTAAAGCTCATGGGCAAAAGAAAAGCTGCCCCCTCAGAGTACCTCATGAATCTTCATTCTGCCTCTCCTTCTGTGTCCCCAAGAACCCAATTCCTCCAAAGGGCAGAAGGAGTCAAAGTCTTAATCCATTTTCTATCCAGGGGCTTTTGATCCTGAACCCTTTGTGTTTCTCAGCAGAAAGGGATCTGGTCAGGAGTCAGGGCAAAGCCAAGGGCGGAACAGGAGCAGAGTGGACAAGGTTCCCCATTAAGAAGAAGCTGATGACCCATGGATTAACTGGCAGCAGAGTCCATGGCCTTCAACACGCAGTAGTCATGGGAGGAGAAGCAAGGGAAGGGGATGGAAACACAGGGTTGGTCTGACCAACCCACAGAAGTAGCCTCCCATGTGGGACAAACTTGTGGCCACTGTCAAGTGAAAATGTGATTCTGGGCAGACAAGTAGCACCTGCTCCCTGGCTCTCATTCTCATCCCCACAAATGGAGGAGCCCTCTTGCCTCTCTCCCCAGAGAACCTGGTGCCCCTCCCCCCATCTTTGGCTGTGAGGTCCCTTTCCTGACCCCTGATCTCCTCCTCTGAAGAAGGAAGCTGCAGACCCAGGGTGAAGATTCCTCTGCATGCCCTCCTCTGCTTCCCTGCTTCTGCCTTCACCCCACAGCTCTGGCTTTGCAAAGCAGAGAGGAGGACAGGACTAGCTAATCATGCCTCCACCTTTCCTGAGCCTGGCCCCAGGACTTTTTGCCCTGCAGCCCTAGGAGCTGGTGGGAAGATTCTTGCTGCAGCCTGACTCTTGTCTCTGATCCCAGGAGGAAGAATTGATGGCTCTTAAGAGCCCCGAAAGAACACAGCTGCCTGAAGTACCATGCAACAGACACACAGGCAAAAGGATCTCCATGCAGCTCTTTGTGCATCTGGTATACCATGTGTGCCCACATGTGAGAGCCATGCTTCAAGCCCAGCTCCGGGAAGACCCAGCAGCTCCTGGCTTCCACGCTCCAGTCTCGCATTGTCCCCCTCAAGGAACCCATTCCCAGGGCCAGGAGCCATCCAGGGATCAGTCCTGGCAAAGAAACCTTGACCAACTGGCCCACCTAGCCTTGGGACTGGCATTTATCTCCCAGTTGAGCCAGACAAGCACAAGAGAGTGTTTACAAGGGTAGGGCCCCAGGGTGGAGGGGGAAAGGAGAGAGGGGAACCCACTGAAGAGGGCAAGGGGCCAAAGCAAAGGACACAGGAAACAGTCGGTGTGAACAGGCAGAAGGGCAGAACTGAGGACTCCTTTCCCCAGGAAGTCCCCATGCTTGCTTCTGAGTGAGAGCACATCCGATCCCCAGAGGGGGACAGAGGTGGCCAGAACGGTCACCAGCTTGGGGCAGCCAGCACCTGCCCTCCCCAGCAAAGCCTCCTCCTCCCCTCTCCCTACCCTGGGGGCTGCAGAGCTGAATAACCAGACAGGCCCTCCGCCATGCATGCCAGGGACCTGGCTCTGCCGGCCCAGCCTCCATTTTGCTGCTTCTCCCACAGATGCTCCTTCCATTTTCTAAGCTGGCAGTTTAGGCTGGGAGTAGAAGCCGGAGTTGTGCCCAGCACCCAGGGGTTCCCAAGCTGTGCCAAGTCAGGGCTGGGGGGCTAAGTTTTCCCACATCTAGGGGTACCCCAGAGGGACATGCCCCACCGGGGCCAGTCCCTAAACCATAGCAGCTGCCCCTTGCCTGGCTCCAGGCACCATGCCTGTTCTGGAGCGAGGAAGATTGCTTCAGCTCCCCCCTCAGCACACACACACTTCAGAGCTGCTTGGACAAAAGAGTCCATCCTTCTCAGCAGCCTCTCAGCCTTGCTTGGGACGTGTCTCTTGCCTCCTCCCCCTCCCTCCCTTGCCTGTCAAGCGCCTCTCACCAGGGACACAGCACATGCACACACACACATAGAGGCACACACATGCACACACTTGCAGCCACATGCTCACACACATATACATGTGGCCACACACACGTACGGGCAAACACAGCCAAACCCGCAGCTTCATCTACAGAGACACCTCCACATTCAGAGAGACATCCCCACATGTCCATGTGCACATTCACACACAAAGGGATGGAGAGGGACTCATGGCATCAGGGGATGAAGCTTGGCGAGCTGGGCACATGGGCTCCTCAACATAGATTCACAGGCGCTCCACTGCCTCACTGCCTTTCTCTACACACCTCAACATACATACACACACACACACATGTCCCCGCTACGCAGAGCACCATGCCCCCTCCTCCCCTCCTGTGGAGACACACACCACACACAGCCCCCGCAGAACCTCCCGCCCCCTGTCAGACACAGAGACACTGCTCAACCCCCACACCGAGAAGAACCCAATCCCCCCACACAGGAAAATGAGCCCCTCCGCCATACCTTCACCTCCTGACACACAGCTCCTCCCAGTCCCCTCCAAATGGAGACCCCCAAAAGGACACACACACAGAAGCACACATTTCCAACCATCTCTCTTGGGCCAGCTGCAGTGCTGGGGCTCAGGGTCTGCTGGCTTGGAGCCCCAGGAACCCCTGCTGCACTCCAGGCCTCTAGGCCCCCCACTCCCCAGCCGCCCTGGGTTGCCCCCCTCCACACCACCCCCCCGCACCCCCTCCCCCGTCCATACCTGCTCATACCAATCCCGGCCTGTACAGGTGCACTCTGGCCACCAGCTGGGGCCGCTGCCGTTGAGTTTGGGGGTGCTCTTGCCCGGGACTGGCTTAGGGGGTACTGGTCCCACATCCCGGCCGGTGGGGATGAGCTTGGCCTTGGTGCGGGGGGTGGGGGTGGCCCCCGCCTGCGAGGGCAGGGTCTGCGAGCTGTAGCCCCCATAACCGGCACTGGCTCCATTGCCCCCACCTGGCCCGTAGGGGTCGGGTACCTGCCAGTCCCCGTAGCTGGGAGGCTCGAGGCGCCGCAGGGCAGCCAGGCGGGTCACCTCGTAGCACTCGGGGCACTTACAGCAGTGCTGGTGCTTGTGCATCGCACTGCCCCCCGCGGCTCGGACCCCCCAGCCCACGCCGGTTTCCACGCCGCCGCCGCTGCCACCGCCGGGCTCCCGGGCACACTCACACTGCTCGGACCAGGAAGGGGGGGGCACCCGTTGGGGCGCCCGGGCGGAGCGGGGCCTGGGGCCGGGCGGGCGTCCCGGGGCCTCTGCCCCCACGCTGCCCCGCACCCACGGCTCCCCCTCCAGCACTGGCGGCTCCGTGTCGCCCGTCGTGGCTCCTGGGCCGAGGCCCAGTGGCAAAGAAGAAGCGGGAGCCTGGGCAGAAGCTGGGTGCTGCGAGGACCGCTCCTGCACTGGTCCCCAGGATGGATCTGAGTGGAGTCAAGAGCATCTCTCCCTGGCTCCGTTCTCAGTAGATTCCAGCCAATCAGCGTGCAGAATCAGGCAGCGGCAGCGGCAGCGGCAGGAATGCTAAACAGCGGCTCCTTAAAGGAACAGAGGCAGTGGCGCCCCCAGGCTCAGCCCCAGCTCCCCAGATATCCGGGGTAGGGCTGACCCTAGGTCGGGGACAGGGGACTTAGGCCACGAGTGAGCTCAGCTCTCAATTTCATGCCCCTTTATCTCCAATTTCATCCTGTCCTCCGCCCACTCCACCCCACCCCACCCTACTACCAAGGGGGAGTTGCAGAGAGATGCTCAATGGGTCCCCGGCCTTGCTCTGAGCTGGGGCCACCAGAAGTAAAGACTTGAGGCGGCAGAAGCGATCCAAGGGACGTTAGAGCAGAGTGAGGGAGGTGCTCTCTCCTAACGGGACCAAGGAAGAGGACAGCTTAGGAGGCTATTCTCTTGTCAGTGCCTCTTCCTCGGGACTATTGTTCTCTCAGTCTCTAGGCCCTGAAATGACTGCAACCTAACACTTGACCTGCTTCTATCACCAATGAGGGACTCACACCTAGAACAGGAGGAGAGGAAAGCTCTAAGCTTTTATCCCTGGTGCACAGATTCCTGTCTCCTCCACTCCACTCCTGCATGGTTATCATGGAGGAAAGCACTCAAGATGCCAAGAGAGTAAAGAAAGTCCAGGGCAGGAGGAAAGGTAAGAAGAGGTCTAAAATGAAAGAAATCTGGGGGTCTAGAGAAGAAGTTGGGAACACTAGTCCAAGGACACCTTCTTAACTGCTCTTGGCTCAGCCTGTTGGTGGATGGAAGAAGGATGACATGCTGGGAAAACTTGTCATTTTGCTGTTCTTGTTTTGTCATTAGCTACCAGTTATTGAGTCTTTACAAAGTCCTAAGTGCTTTACATGCAAACAAAACCCCTACCAAAGTGCTACTATTATTATCTGACTTATACCAATGAGAAATTGAGGCTCAGGGATGTTAATGCAGCTAGGTTACACAGGTGGAAGTGACGGAATCCTAGCCATTTGACTCAAGTCCACACTCAGAACTGCTCAAGTACAACAGGTCTATTCTAACTTGGACAGATCTCAGATCAGTGAACATTTGTTGCACACCTACTCTGTGCAAGGCCTTGACCTAGGCCCTAGGGCTACAGAAATTTATTCTTAATTCAACAAATATTCTCTGAGCATGTGCTATGTGCCAGACACTGTTCTAGGATTTAAGGACGTAGCAGCAAACAGGGGGAAAAAAAAACCACGCAATAAATCCTTGCCCTTGGGGATTTTACATTCTAGTGATAGGACACAGACAAAAATTAGTACAATAAATAAGTGAAGTATATACTACTGTATATGGTGATAAGTGCTGTGGGAAAAAAGAAAAAGCAGAAAAAGAGGGATTGGGAGTACTATGGAAGGATATGAGGTTGTGATCATTTTTTCTTCAAGTTTTTTACCCCTATATTTTAAAAGGAAAATTTTCAAATATACTCAAAAACTGAAAGAATTTTACAGGGATCAACCAATTGCCACCTAGATTTGCTTAACATTTTACTATACTTGCTTTATCACATATACATCCTTCACATATCCTCTTTAGCTTTTTTAAAAATGAAAATTTACAAACATACAGAAATGCTAAAAGAATAGTACAATGAACTTCTATATATCTTCCTCATAGAGCCAACAACTGGCAATGTTTTGTTATATTTGCTCTATCAGTCGATCTACAATTTTTTCTGAATCATTGAAATATAAGTTACAGATTTCATTACACACCTCCCCTAAATATTTTGGCATTCATTGTGTGGGGATAAAGACATTCTCCAGTAATATGAATATGACATGTAAGAAAATTACAATTATTGCATATCATTTAATGTCCAGTCTCTGGCATGCTACAGTCCATGGGGTCTCAAAGAGTTGGACATGACTTAGCGACTAAACAACAACAACAATGTCCAGTCTCTATTCAAGTTCCTCCAAACTTGTCTTTTATTTATTTATTTATTTTCCATTTATTTTTATTAGTTGGAGGCTAATTACTTTACAACATTGCAGTGGTTTTTGTCATACATTGAAATGAAGTCTTTTATATTTTTTAACATCAGAATCTAATCATGGCTGTCACATTGCATTTGTGTCTTTAGCCACTAGAATAGCCCCAATATTAACAGAAAAATTTTTATTTTGCAATAATTATAGATTTACAAGAAAACTGCATAAATAGACAGAGAGGGCCTGTGTACCCTTAACCCAGTTTTACTCAATGATTGCATCTTACCTAATTATAGTACAATATCAAAACCAGGAAATTGACATTGGTACAATGTGTGTATAGTTCTATACCATTTTACCACATGTAGAGATTCCTATAACAACCATTGCAATCAAGATACAAAACTATTTTGTCACCACAAAGACCTATTGGTGTCATCAGTTTAAAAGATTGAGGAAAGTGTAAAAAAACCTTAACTCTATTTAGGTCTCTTTACCCTGTCTCATTTATACTATGGTTGTCTTTAATATTTCCTCTACATATATTGAGCTCCACATCAGATGATACTATACCTATTGCTTCAACCATCAGACATTATTTAGACAATTCAAGAGAAGAAGGAAAGTCTGTTGTACTTATGTTTTTATTCATTCTATTCTTTCTTCCTTCCCGATGTTCCAAGAGTTCTTCTTTTATCATTTCCTTTCTCTTTTGTGCACTGTCTTTAACCACTCTTTTAGGGTGAGTCTGCTGGTGTCAAGTTCTCGTAGCTTTCCTTTTTCTAAGGATATCTTGATTTCTCCCTCATTTCTGAAGGATATTTTCACTAAATATAGCATCCAGGCTTGGCAGTTCTTTTAGCACTTGAAATATGTTGTGCCACTTCCTCTGGTCACCATGGTTTCTGGTGAGAAATCACTGATTCTTGAATTGTTTTCCCCCTGTTGATAAAGTGGTGTTTCTCTCACTGCTTTCAAGATTTTATCTTGGTCTGGTTTTTAAAAGTTTGATTATAATATGTCTTGACACGGATTTCTTTATCCTGTTTGGGATTTGTTCAGCTTCTTGAATCTGTAGGTTTATGTCTTGCCAGATTGGGGGGATTTTCAGCCATCGTTTCTTGAGGACTTCTTTGGCCCCACTTTCTTTCTCTTCTTCTGGGACTCCCTGATAACATGAATGTTAGGTCTTTTGTTATAGTTCCACATGTCTCTGAGGCTCTGATCATTGTTTTTTTTTAAGACTATTTTCCCACTGTTATTCAGATCTGGTAATTTCTAATGTTCTATCTTCCAGTTCATTGATTTTTTTTTTCTTGTCTTCTCCATCCTGCTGATGAGCCCATCTCCTCAGTTTTTTGGTTTGGTTATTGTATTCTTCCATTCTAAAATTTCTGTCTGATACTCCATCATATCTGTTTCTCTGCTAAGACTTTCCATCTTTTTCATTTGTTTCCAACCTATTTGTAATTGCTCATTGCAGCATTTTTTCCCTAATGTTGGCTCCTTTATACTCACTCTCAGATCATTGAAAGCTCTCTGTCATCTTGGTGTTGGCATCTGTTGATTAGTTCTTATTCATGGTGAGGGTCTCCTGTTTCCTGGTATGATGAGTGAATTTCCATTGCATCGTAGACATTTTGGATATTATGTTATCAGACTCTAGATCCTACTTAAATCTTTTGTTTTGGATAGGCATTTTCTGACACTGTTGCCGTCAGTGGAAGGGGCCATTGCCTGGCTACTGCCAGGAAGGGGTAGAAGTTCAAGTTGTTCTCCGCTTAACATTGGTTGATACCCAAAGAGGGGGTTCTTCTTTACTGCTGGGCAAGTGTGGGAGTTCCAGCTCCCCACAGGGCCTCCACTGACACCTCCTTGGCTGGGGAAGGGTTGAAGGGCCTCCTTCCTGCTCCCAGGTGGCTTCCACTCACTACGGGTGGGGGTGCAGGTGGGAGTGAAGATGATAGAGGACTGGGGTGGGGAGGGGAGGAGGAGCAGGGCAGCAGCAAAAGTCTTGACTCTCCACTAGGCCTTCCTCTGTTACTCTGATGCCATGCTGGTTAACCTGTGGGGATGGAAGTCCAGACTCCATACTTAGACACCACCCCAGGGAGCCTGGGGAGCCTGGCAAGAGGGAAAGTCTTGGTTTCCACTTGGGTCTTTGCTGGCTGGAGTGGGTGGAGCTGCAGTTTTTTGTTTTTGTTTTTCTGTAATGTCTGGTTGCAGGAGAGTGGTTATTGTCTAAGAGTTTTGTGTTGTCCAACTAAGCTGCCCATTTCCTAGTCTTTGGGCTAGAGAGAGCAGGCTTTTACTGAGGCTTTTTTTTTGTCTGTGCCTACTGGCACTTCCAGGCTGGCTTCTCCAGCCTACAGTCAGGGATACAAGGCAACAAGAAAACCCAGGGAGCTCACTTAGTCAAAACTGCCCTTTTCTCCCTCTTTTAGAGTCTTCCTATGTTTGTTTTTACATATCACATGCAGAGTTTTAGCTGACCTTATTGGGAGAAATAGGGAGAAGTATGTCTACTCCAGCTGAGTCCAGAACTAGAAGTCTCCCATCCTTTTTTTAAAAAAAGTATTTATTTATTTATTTATTTATTTATTTATTTATTTATTTAGGCTGCACTGGGTC